CCCCTCCTTGCAGAGCACCTTTTGGGCCACCTGGAGCACGCCAAGGGCCTCCCTGCGGGCAGCCAGCAGGAGGCTTCGGCGGCACCCACGAAGGAGCCCAGCGCGCCCCAGGGGGAGCCCCCCACCACCGCCGAGACTGCTGGGGCCACCAAAGAGCAGAAGAAGAAGCCCCGACGTGGACGGAAGCCCAGAGCGTCCAAGCCCGAGCGGCCTCTGGTCACCGTGGAGGACGAGGAGCCTGCGGGTGAGCGGCTGCGCCTGGCTGTGCCAGGGGATCTGGTGTCCTGGCTGTGGCCGGAGCCCAGTCGGGTGCGGGATCTGCCTTCCCACTGCCGGCCCCTCTTTCCTGCCGCCTCCCCACCCCAGGCGCCTTCTCTTTACCTGTTGGGGATGTGCCGGGGTTTTCTTCTGTGGGAATGGAAAGAAATCCTTGGGATTCGAGGAGAATTCGGAAGAGGGACCTTCGTGTGGTGTCCCGGCTCCCCATCCTCCTCGGGGTCCCTGCACTCCTGGGTGGGTGGAAGGAGGGGCGGGGAGGCTGGGACAGAGCCCTGCCTGCGGGGCCTAGGGGCGCTGGGGAGGTTCGGGGGCTGCCTCCTGCCCTGCTGCCCTGTGTGATGACCGTGTGCACTTTCCACACACCCTTGGGATGGCATGTCTAGTTACAAATTTTAATATCCCTCATCTGTCAGAACTAAGTAAATAAGTTAGAAGATTCTGCTGTATGTCCACACTGTTCGGGGTTGGCATGAAGAGAAGCTGCAGTAATACTATGATGTTGTGGCTTTAAAAAAACAATCGCAAATTAGAACTTCAGTTTGGGTGAAGACTTTTTTTTTTGTGGTACTGGGGCTTGAACCTAGAGCTTTTGCACTGAGCCACATCCCAGCTCTTTTTATTTCTTCTTTGAAGTCAGAGTCTTACTAAGTAGCTAAGTTGCCAAGGATGGGCTAGAACTCGAAATCTTCCTGCCTCAGCCTCCCAGAGGGCTGGCATTACAGGTGTGCACCTGCACACCCGCCTGCTTTTCCTATGCAGAGGACCGTGTGTATCCCAAAACTTTGCCGGTTTTGTTTTCTGAGGGTGACCCAGCCCCTGGAGTCCTCTGTGGCTTGGCCTTGCTCGGGGCGGTGCAGTCCTGGGTTTGCTGCCCATCCCGTCCCATGACGGTACCATCTGTCACCCCTGCTTTGGCAGAGCAAGTGGCGGAGATCATTACCGAGGTCCCGCCGGATGGGCCTGGGAGCGCGGCGCCAGAGGAGCGGGTTCTGGAGCTGGTGCTGGGAAAGCTGGCCTCACCCGTGAGCGACGTCAGCCCGGTGCCCAAGTGAGTGGCATGAGGGCAGGGGTGGCAGGGGCCGCCGGGAGGGGCAGGGTCCGGAACCCGGTCACGCACGCAACAGCTCCTGATCTCCTGGCCGGCCGGCCTGCTTCAGGCTCCGACTCTGATCCGGGCCCTAAAGGCGGGAGGCCTGCAGGACTGGGCCTGTGCCTGCCGATGTCACCAGGGCCTTGCGCTCCCGCTGTCCCATCTGGTGCAGAGCGGCACCGCTGTGGCCCGGCTGTCTGGACCGATTGTGCCATGGTACAGTGCGGTCTTTTCAGTGAACACAGTGCTCTGCCCTGCACCCCTCTTCCTCGGCTGTGTTCAAGGGAAAGCTGTGATTTTGTTACGCGTCTGGTGGGTTTACACTCGGGAATGCTGGAAACGGACCCAGACTGTCAGGAGTGACGTTTTCTGCTTATTTATTTTCACTCTCTGGGGCGCCTGGAGGGTTGCAGGGAGCGTCCAAAACACCTTCCGGGGAGGCAGGCGGTGAGGCCAAGGCCCAGTGCAGGGTCCTCGGTCCTCAGCGGCTATAGTGGGAGAGACCCTCAGCCAGGCCCCGCCCACCCCTGACCCTGCGCCCCTCGGGCAGGTTCACCCACCACGCGGGCGGCGCGCTGGCCCTCAAGCGGG